AATATATAAATAAGACGTTACATAAGGATTTGCATGAGTTGTTCAGTTAACATCACGCCACAGATATGTCAGTCCATTGTTGGCACATGGTCAGAAAACAGAGGTGCAAACTGATGAAAACTGGTGTGTAGAATGAGCTGTTTTCAGTATTTACCTTGCAAAGCTAGAAAAAGATATTTTTGTGTATTACTCTTGCAAAATTGTGAACATCCAAGTGAGACAAATGCTTCCTAATTTCACAGACTCTATTAGCTCCAGAAAGAGCTTAGTCTGCATAGGACTGGGTCCTTAAAATTCACCAGCCTAACTCCTCAAAGATGGGGAAGCTGTTGATAAATGTAAAGTAAACTTGTAATGAGTTTCACAAAGCTATCTGGGTACTAGGTAAGGCAGAAACCTACTTTCCTGGTGTAGCTGAGCGCACTTGAGATCTACTTCCTACTGAAATCCGTTGAGCTTTGGCAGTCTATTTACACCTGATACCTTCAAGTTCTTACTAGGTACCGATATCCACCCTTTAGATAAAAGATAGAGGTATCCTTTAAGATCTGCACTTCATTGAAGAATGCTGAGTGTTCAGACCTTTAACTATCTTTGCTAAAACGCTATTTTAGAAATGATCTTAAAAGTAAGAATTCTTATTTGATATTGAAAACACTGTAACCTTTATGTGACAAGTTTATGCATCTTCATTCAAATTCCTCTGCTTTTCTGGTTAGCACTGAAGGAAAACAGTTTATTCTCATGAGAAAGTAATTTCCTCTGAATTAAGTTCTTTTTTTCCCCCCCTCTGTGTTAAGAGTCAATCTTTTCAAGTGCCAGGCCTCTAAATGAAAGAGTTTTCCTGATGAAACAACCCATCTTGATAAGCTAGGATCTGCCTTCAAAACAGAATTGAAGAAAATCTCCCTTTTTAGGTCTGGAATGTAAGCAGTTACAGAATTTCACTGTCTGGAATGCTTGAGATTTACAAGCTAGCTTTCCTCAGCCAGGTATTGTGAAGTTATTTACAGAGCTCAAGTTTTAACACTTGGTAGTTTTATTTTTATATGAATTTTTACTAATTTTTTTCAAATTTTTATAATTAAATTCTGTGGTCCTATTTTATGTAAAACTATGAATTTAAATGTATGATGTTAAAAAGTTTTTTTAGAAATTTTGCTGTGTGTTTATAATCAAAGTTAATATAAATGTCAGGTTAAAAATCTCATGCAATTCCTTGAATATTTTCCCATCTGAGTTTCTGCTTTAAAGACAGTCTTAATCTTCAAAATTATTCTAACAGCACAGAAGTTAGGGTTTTTTTCTGCTAATAAATTCACCTGCTCACCGATTTTAGGTAAACATATGATTTAAATAACTGTTACCTTTTAAAACTCATCCAGTGATGTAAACAGTTGAATTTCTTTTTTGTTTGTTTTTAAATGTTATTTTTTAAAAAGTATTAGTTCTAAGTATGGATCTCAACTCTGATGATGATTCTTT